TATCACATACTTTAAGACTTTTACTCAAGTAATATTCCTAAAGGAGACTTTAACTTTTACCAAAGTAACGTTTTGGTAAGATACTTGTACTTTTACTCAAGTATCACTTTGTGGTCTTTCTACAACACTGACAGTGACGTGCATTCATTGAAGGAATACATGAATGTTAACATGTTCTCATCATCTCATGATGTCACACTCATTACATCACATTCATATTTAGTAAAAGCAGCTGGAAACAGACCCAGAASCACGTATCCTCCTCCTTCTGAGAAGTATGTTCCGGCCTCAGAGAGCCCCTCGTAGCACGGAGTGACCCCAAAGGTCTCCGCTGCAGAGGACAGGGGGTGTCCATCGAGCTGAAGGTCCTTCAGACAGCCAGAGAAGCTGTAAGCTGAGTTTCTCTGAACAGGATCAGAAATAAATGGGTTTTATTCAAACAGGAAGATTCAATYATTCACAAAAAAATGTTTATTYATCATTAACACAAAGATAAAACACATGAGGGCTCCTACTTGACTGAAACAGATTTCAAATCGTTTTATCTAAAGAAACGAGACACGATGTCAGGATTGATGTGGTAGAACCCAAAGTGCAGGCAGACTGGATCAATGAAAAAACAACAACTGGTTTATTAAATAAAAGAAAAAGGCCGATGTGGCAGAATAAAACTAACAAAAAATAACAACAGATCCACAGATGTTCCACAAGTCTTAGATCAGGGCTCAGAAGGACACTTCAGAACAGTCCAAAGTTTGGTTCTGATCCAGTCTGGTGTTTTAGTTGTGCTTTTGTGGCATTTTCCTGTTTAAGAACCCATGATCTGCAGTAAAGCTGTCTGACACTAGGTCAGGGGTCTGCGACCTTTACGAACACAGGAGCCATTTGTGCTCCTTGTCTCACCAACAAAATGTGTCTGGAGCTGCAAAACAAGCTATAACTGTGATTTTCAACTRGTGGTCTGTGGGCCTTTTCGAGGCCTTTTCGGGAACCTTCAAGGTCAGAGGAGTTGACGTTATAAAACTACAAAAATATTGCTATTATTGTAATATTATTTATTATTATACACATCAGGACAAAAAAAAAGACCATATTCATGTAAACAAGAAAAACACCATATATAGTTTATACCCAATTTCATAAAAACTAGTACAACTGAATTATTCAGGCATATTTTTTCTAATTCTTATTATGTAGTCTTCAAGTTATTTAAAGGTAATTCTGAAGAATTTGAGACAAACATCATAGAAAGAAGTTGGATTATTTAAGTAAACAACCGTCTCACATGAGGTAACATGTTTTACGTTTTATATTAGTAGTATTTATCACATATTTACATACAAATTGATTTCTGTTGTGAGTATAAAAACAAAACAAAAAAATTGTTTTAGTCACATTTTTAAAGAGCCACTGCAGAGGGACCAAAGAGCCACATATGGCCCCAGAGCCACAGGTTGCAGACCCCTGCACTAGGTAGTATGCTCCAGAATGCCTTGATAGTCTTAAGATTTCATCGTAACCTGCACAGGTTCAAAACATCCTGTGCCAGATGCAGCAAAGCAGGACCAGAACAGAACTGAGCCTCCTTCATGGTTTACTGCAGGTAAAGGTTCTGTTGTTTAACTTTGGGTCTTTGCACATTAAGCTGGTGGGAACTGGTTTCCAGTTTGGTCTAATCCTTCAGAAAGGATATTGTCTCAGAAACGGTTTGTCTCGTCACTCCTCCCTGGTCGTCTTCTTTCATGTCCACTTGGTGACAAACAGCCACTGATGGTGTGATCTGACCGTCTGATTACAAGCTGAAGACATCTGTGAGGCTGATCAGAGGAACATGAGTTTAACATGTCCCTGTGGTCAACTCTGTTCTAAGTGTACACTGTAAAAATAACTTGTAAGATTTACTTGAAAAAAAATCCTCTAACAAATTTGCATTAATGTTTGTTAAGTAAATTTAAATACTACAAATTCATGTAATATTTACTCATCATTATCTAGTAAAAGTTATTAAGAATATAGTTAAAGATTTGTGAATAAATCAGGTAAATTTTACTTAATTTGCTCAATTAAATGTTATAAGATTTGAGCAAATTAACTAAAATTTACCTGATTT